GCCAAGCGCACGGGAAAACTTGTGCGGAGTGCGAACCAACAACACAATTTTCACATGAGCAAGACCACGACATAGCAGTTGTTTTCAACAGGACCGAGTTGCCGGCACCAGTGCAACCTAAACAAAGGTGGCGCCACGTGAAAGAACTCAAGCACAAAGGTCAGAGAAAAGCAAAGCGCTGCGTTGTTCGCGTCAATGTCACTGGCAATTCCCAACGCCTGCAACACTACGCAGCATCCGATAGAGTGTGCATGAACCGACGCGTTGGTGCTGGCTATGGGCACAGCGTGCCATACCAAGAACGATCGCACGATGTCGGACTTGCCCATGCTGAAAGCGGTGGAGGTACTCGTTGTGGATGGATGTACAACCAAGACCACACGTGCATGGCATGGCTGTATTTGCTTTGCGTGGTCAAGTCGTTTCGTCAACATAAAGATCGCCGCTCGACTTGCATTCCATTTGCCGACTGACCAACAGTTGAAGCCGCTCTCGCCTCCAGCTCCTCGACCGCCTCTGCTGAAAAAACGAGCTAGGGAAATGCCACCAACTCGGCCGTCGGATCCGACGCGGCTGGCCAAGCGATTTCGCCATTGCAGAGCACATCATGCACCACGACGAATGTCCATGCGTACAGCACGTGTCTGCTCTCATCCATGAAGCACTCCGAAACTCTTCAGTTGGGACCGAACCAGGAGATCGTCGCGTTGTTTCTTCGTTGGGCAGTGCACCGAAAGTGAACTGTGCTACGCCCACCTCATACGACCCGGGGCGGGGCACCCTTGATGTGCTCGACGCGTTCATCTGGGGCTCCCATGACCACCAGGGCGTCAGGACTCTCGGCCTTGTCTTTATGGCATGACACGTGGAGGGCTCGTCGACCTGTCGTGCACCGACGTGAAGCTCCTCGCTCTTGTCCGTCCGTACCGTCCATCGCCACCTCTCAAGCCTCGGCCACCATCCATTGTTTCGAGGACGTTGGACAGCTCGCCGGCAAGCGTCGATACCCGTGAAATGCGTGGGATAGGTGTCGGATCTCGACCGTACACGTGACTTGCGGTCTTCGAGTATTGTGCGTTGTTGTCACTGCCGAGCTACAAAAACGCCGTGTGGGGAAGAAGGACAATGGATCCCCGGAGCTATACCGCCGGAGGCTCGCGCACGGCGTTTGCTCTTGGCACACCCAACGACGCAATGCAGACGTTGGCGAAGGATGCAACGCGTACTACGGCATTGTCTTTTATGAACAGATCCAACAAGAGTATGCTCCCGTGGGCCCGAGGCCCGTACTAGAGGGGACAACAACAACCCACGGTCGCCTGCGACGCCAACCTCTTGACATTCCTTTGTCAAACCGTCGCACACACCGATTCCATCGAACGGTTGCTATCGCGTCATGAACGATCCTCGGGTGCGTTTCGCTCGACGCGCGTGGTGTGGTGGCCGGACGTTGAGTGGCCCCTTTCGTCACCATGCTCCTCGTCGGGTCGCACCGCATCCCGACCCGACACTCGACGATGGAAGCCAGTCCATTCGGAGAATGTGCAACGAGTGGTCTTCTTTGCACACAGGTTTGTGTCGTCGTCGATGGCGGAACGACGTTCGTGTTTCATCTTCACGAACGTGGCATCAGGACCTTCTCGGGTGTCCAGGCGTGGGGCATCATGGACACAGGAGGCGCGACATCGTCGAGACGTTGTCCAGGAAATCGCGCATTGTTGTTTCCCGTGGCCAACGGTATTGCCAACATGGTGCGATCGGCTTTGGGACGCCGCGACCTGAGCCAGCAACGCCGCGTGCACACCGCATTCCAGCACGTTGTACAACCCGACCGAAACCCTGGCCAAACGTTTCGTGCTCTCCCCGCCGGCCCCCCAGCCCCCGTCGCCCTTCATCCCAAGCCGCGTTGGTCCTACTGCGACGTGGAAATCCTCCCGCGACGTTTTCATTTCGTTCACTTGCATCTCGTTCGTCGTGTCGAGGCATCGCGCCCGTGACGCGACGCGTACTACAAGAACACACCGGGAGAAACATGCATGTTTTCAAATACGTCTCGACTCCATGTGCAATGTCAGCCCGCTTGTCAGGCCTCATGCGATCACGAACCGCGAATTGCTCAGAATCTTGACTTCGAACGTCATGGACTGGATCTCGCGCTTCCTGGAATCGTACAAGTGGATGACCCCATCGACGTCCTGCGCAACGATGCACAGGTCGCTGTTGGAGTCCTTGGAGTCGGATGTAATAGGTTTGACGGCGCCGAGGGAGTCTTCGTCGTCGTCGTCCTTGAGCTCCGTTGTTGTGCTCTTGTTGGACCTTCGAAGGGTCAGCGAAGACGGTTTGTTGTCTCCATTGCCATGTCCATCTTTGCGCGGGTCACCAACACTGCCGCCGCACTCTGATATGGGGGATAGCGTGCTGTTGCTCTCGCCGTTGACCGTGATCATGGCGACCGACTTGGTCAGCATCGCGCGGACGTGCTTGGGGTTCTCTGGCAGGCCAAAGCACAGCGTGTGGCACATGAGGAACCACTGGAACGTGCACAGGGCACGGGCTTGCACGATCACCGCTTGGTTCTTGTAGTCGGCGAGATCATGGAACGAGTAGCACATCTCGCACAAGATCGACGACGAGTTGTACATGGCCTGTCGAGCGAGCGAGTTTTGCGACAGCCGGCGCCACTTGTTCCAGTTGAGGAGGCGGTCCGCGGACAGCATGACAAACAAGTTGACGAGCATCACGAGCATCATGCTCGGATACGACCGAATGAACCAGGACGAGAAAAAGTCGACGCGGATGCTGTCGAGGTCAGCATTGGTCGACGACAGCGTCGCCATGTCCGAGTTGCCGTACTCGATGTACTCGGTCCGCTGCATAAGGAAGATGGCGGCAAAGTAGATGTACAAGACCGAACTAAAGTTGAAGAACCCGACGACAGAGTTCGATCCGTTGTACCGGGACATGCTGACAAAGTTGACCACGACCTTGGTTGCTTTCACGATGAAGCAGTTGATCCAGAGCCATCGAAACTGGATCGCTGCCATTTGGATGTCGATCCACCGGTTGTCGCCTTCAATATTCCAATGGTACACGAGGCGCGAGTACGTCATCGAGTTTTTCTCGTCGAGGAGGACCGCCACCACATACACCAGGACAAACCAGTCGCTGTTCAAGCAAAAGTTGGCAAATGTAAACGTGTGGCTGCTGTACCGATACAGCGGCGGCGCGAGGGTGTGGACTACGCGCTTCCACGCCGTGTCGACGGTCCCGGTTTCCGTCCACCGCGTGGTTTTCTTGCTCGTGGCAAACGACACGAGCGCAAGCACGAGCGCGATGCCCCGAAGGTACAGCGACGATTGCGTCCCCGACGACCGCTCGAGAATGGCCCCCAGCATGTGGTATTCGCCTTGATACGCGTGGCTAGACGTGACGACGAGCGAGTGCGTGGCGGGGTCGACATAATACGACGACTTGCACACGTCCAAGCCGAGCTCAATCACGGGGTCGCACCCCGAGCAAAAGGCGACGGCGTTGAACCGGTACATGGACACGTTGGCGACGATGGTTTCTCCAACAGGAGGGATCTCCACGGGTGTAGTCAGCCGCATGTCGACGTCGACCCGCGCGGGAATAAAGCCGAGGTAGGCTAGGTCTCTGTATGATGCGTTGGGGGGAGGGGGCTCGTCGGGGGCGGTGAAGTAGTTGTCGAGCGTATTGCCTCGAACGAGTTGCATGTAGTTGTACACGACTCCGAGGTTCATGGTGGTGGAAGTCGTATTGGGGGGGAGGGGGTACGACTGGACGAGCGTACCACAAATGCCGTTGGCGGCACTGTCGATGTAGTGCGCGCCGGCAGTCAGGACGTAGTCGGTGGGGTCGCGGATGTAGCACGAGTCCATGATGTAGTGAATCAAGAACATGCCGCCTTCCGACATGGACTCGACGTTGGCCAGGTCGGGAAAGGCAAACGTGCGGGAGAGTTCACTGGGCTCAGCGAGGTTGATCAGAGGCGTGAGGAGGTAGTTGGAGTTGCCGAGGTAGTTGATGAGCTCCCAGTTGTTCATGATCACGTCAAACCCCACAAAGAAGACGCTCGTCAGCCCAAGACACATTTGGACGACGGAGGGCACCCAAGACAGCGACAATGCAATCTGTTTCAGCGGAATCATACCAACCTAACGACGCCAGTCTGCCCCAGTGTGGTTGCGTCTGCGTCTTGATCAATGCACCCGGCGTGGTTTCTCAGTGTATTTTTACTCGCGACGGGTGGCATGGTCAGCAGACACATTCAGGTATTTTTGGCAGTCCGTTTCCTTCAATATGCAACAGCCGAAGTCGATGGGCCGCCAAGTCGTCCATGGGATCGTATTCGACACGCCAAAAGGACAAGGGCATGCTTCACGTGCGACGGAATGCGCGGTGTACCAACTCGAACCGGTTGTGTCAACAAGGCGCGCCCCTGCCGGCTTTTTCCCATTCATGGGCAGGACAACACGTCAGGACGGACGGACGTGGCTCGTTCACGAGCAAGATTCATGTGAACCCCACGAATTGCATGCGTGTCTGTGTTCCCGATTCGATGGAGCATCGTCCTGTCGTCACAATTGTGGTGACGGGTCGTCCAGACGGACGGAGGTCGCGGCGAAGCAACAGTTTGAATCGCTCTCGGCATGCGAGTACACGCATGGACCGCGACGACGTCAAATCAGGCAGTCGTTGTCCAGGTGTGACCTCCAAACTTCAATGGCCCTCCAGCCGTCCAGGCCCTTGGCCGACAAGGTCCACACAGGAGCAGCTGTACCGACAGTGCTGTTCAAATGAATGGTTGTCGAGGCAATGGATGGTGGGAGCAGCATGGCGTGCTCTCATCGCGTGAACTTGTCCGCCGAACGATGGGCACTAGGACAATCGAAATGCGCCAGTTGGGAATTCCCAACACCAACCTCGTTGACCAACAACGTCAAGACTCTATGTGCATCCAAACGTCGGTCCAGTGGGAATCCCAGCGTTGGTGGGAGTTCGTGAAGTCGAGGCCACCTGCGTCGACGACCTCGTCACGCCAACCGGTCCACAGCATGTCATTGCGACGTCCGCCTCGGCCATCGCTGGCGCCTTGGGATTGGCCTTTACCACGTCCAGGTTGAAGTGCGCGGGCCGACGCCATCATGTACGTATAGCCTACGTGCAAAATTCGTGTGGATATATATCATGTCGTAAAAACTACCAAGCAACGCAGTGAGACTTATTCATTCGTAGCCTTCTCACTCGACGCGTCAATGTACGGGATCCATTCATCGACGGAGACGGCATCGTCATGGCAAGACGTGTTGAGTCAAAAACGGAGTAGCAGTGTGCCATCGTCCGAATGCACCAACACGATCGCATTCGATGGCTTGTACACGTCGCTCGAGGGTGCGCTTCACCGTCGACGACGACGGTAGCCTCATGGACGCCAAGTGGACAATCCAACCACTGTAGATTAGGAACCACACGTTGGGAGGCAATGAGCCAACAAAGTTCATGTCAGGGCCGGTGATCCCTTGTTTGATACCGTAGGCCATGACGGCAATTCCTTTCGACAGAGGCAGCTGCATGAAGACGTTCGCCATCGCTCAGGCGACATCCTCACACAGGGCCTCAGGAAGGACGCCCCTTGAGGGCCAAAACGTCATGGAATTCGTCGTGCGACTTGGAGTACTATACGGCTCTGTCGTGAACCAGGGTCGGTGACAACGCGGAAGTTTGTTCGCGGGACGAAGGCTGATCGCAGCCAAGGCCTGCAATCCGACAGTCTTGACTTCCACCAAGTCTTCCCACAAAGCAAGGTGGAGGACGCCATCAAGGGCTTGGTTGAGCCAGAGTTTGTTGGGTGGAAGCACTAGCAACTCATAGACGCTTGCACCAAACATGAAGTATCAGGTTGGCGTGGTCGATTGCCGTCGGCAGCAGGCCAAGCGATCGCAGGGCCTTTCGTTCCGTGGCAGAAAGGTTGTGTTCAATGAAGAGTGGTCGCATTTCGTTCATGCTTGCAATCAAGAGAGCTTGCGTAGAGAAGACGGTGTCAAACCATCGGGGGCGACGCAGTGTGTTGGGCGATTTGAGAGTGCATATACCATGCGGTATGGAGATGCATGATGTCTTGTCGCTTTGAAGCACGTTGCAGCAACGAGCGGCCAGGGATGTCCGTGGAAGGCTTTGGTGGCGGACATGAGGCAATATGGACCTTGCCGCTGGAAACCCTGACTTTGAGTCGCAATTGAAGGCACGACTGGTTGAGGCGTCCGCTGTCGTTTTTCGATTGAAATGGATACGCCAGCACCATCACACTGGTACGACGTAATACCTGTCTCGTCGAGCTAGACCCCACGATCACCACGACTTCCCTGTCGTCTTGGGCTCCTCCTTTGGAATGTCATGCTCAGCATTCAATTCTTTTGGTATACCGCTCTGGTTTCAGTACTGCTGCGCCGCCCACTGCTGGGGTTTCCATCCTATCCCATCAACGGGATGGGCGAAAGCGAGCTGTGTGTCTTGGATCTGGAATCGAATGGAAATTTAAACCTGACCCAATGATAGCACCTTGAACGACAGTCCCTTTCGCCACGGCGCGGTAGGGTGCAGTACTGGGGGAGTCTCTTTCCCGTACGAGTGCTTGCCGCCGCGGCAAATTGGCCGCAAACACCGCACCATGACGAGAGCAATTCAGCAATGCCGCTTTTATTGCATATTTATAGCCAATGAAATGATTTTAACTAATTTCGGGCATTTTTTATATAGGGCAGTCACCTACACATTAAAATGACAAAAAAATGCAACAAAATTCGTCCGAGCATCTTAGTTGACCGCAGCTCAGCCGCCAGTCGAGACGGAACCAAGCATGCTGCTGTCCACACAACTCACGGACCACCTCAAAGTGTACTTGACGCTTCTTCTGGATGCGAAAGACCTGCTCTCTCTCTCGCTTGTGTGTCGCAGTACGTTCGTCCGCCGTCTGTCGTCCCCATCTTCGCTGATTTGACGTGCGATAGCCTGGTATATCTTTTGCAACGAAGAGGTAAGCTGTCGATGGTTGCAGCCGTTGTGTGACGTTGTCATCGCAGCCATTGTGGATGATTCAAGTCCTTCGCAAGCACCAAGGGAACTTTACGTACCATTCGTTTGCGTGGAAGCATGTGTACTTTCGGCCACGGCCATTGTCGCCGTCCGATACGTCACCGCCGCCTCCTCCTCGACCGTCCATTTCAATGCCGACAAATGCATTCACATCAGATTTTCTCTATCGGCGCTATTGCCGCTGCCACATGAACGTATCCACATTTACGCCGCCTTGCATCGACTCCCGCATTCCTCGCGTGGCCATCGCGGGCGTCACCCCCACGACGTTCTTTCGTGAATTCGCTCGTCGTCCTGTGCTTCTTACCGACGCGATGGCATCTTGGCCCTCGTTCACCCCAGGTTTTTGCGCATATACACCGCCGCAACCTTGGAGCGTTCAAACTCTGTAGGGTCCCCAAACCAGTGGACAATGGAGAAGTTGGTGGCTCGTTTCGGCGACATCTTGTGCCGTGTGACCCACAACCTAGACGTGAAGGCCGCCGTTCGCATGACGCTGTCCGACTTTGCCGCGTACGCCGCCGCCCAGCATGACGACTCGCCACTGTACATCTTTGATCCGCACTTTGGCGCGTCGATGCCATCCCTTCTCAGCGACTACGTTATCCCAAACGTGTTCAACGAAGATTTGCTTGCGGTTCTTCCGCTTGAAATGCGTCCAGACTTTCGATGGCTTGTCGTTGGTCCCGCCCGGTACGAGCCTTTGTCGAGACACCCTCGTCGATCTCGTCGCCGGGCACACGTGGTCCTTCCCGATTCCAGGACATCACGACGACTCACGTTGTCATGGTAGTTCGGGCGCTTCATGGCATGTCGATCCTGCCAAGACTTCTGCATGGAACGCGCTACTTGTCGGGCGGAAGCGGTGGGCACTGTACCCACCTGGACGTTGCCCACCAGGGGTGACCCTTCTGGTACAAGTCCCTCGATCGCGGCATCACGTTGTTGTGGTTGCTGTGTGTTTTCCATCACGACCAACCTGACTGGAGCGTCCTCGGTGTTGCTGAGATATGTTTGTCCAACGTGTACGGCATAGGATGAAGACACGGCATCCCCAGCCACGTCGTCCCTCGATTGGTTTTTGCACGTGTACCCGACGTTGTCCGACGCCGACCGCCCGTTCGAGGTAACGCGCCTTGTCCGCTTCATCCGTCGTCGGAAGAGCACATGTCCTGGTATCTCAAGTGTGTTGTGGTTGCTCCCAAGGTTGTCCAAGAGCCTGGCGATGTCATTTCGGTGCCAAGTGGGTGGTGGCACGTCGTGCTCAACTTGGAATTTACCATTGCTGTGACTCAAAACGTTGTTGGTAAAGTGTGCCCAGCGACATTGGTCCATGGCGTGAATCCGTGGCAGCTAACGTCCCATCGAGTAGATTCGCACAACGTGACCTGCTTTGCGCACGACTTGATCGCGGATGGCAACGTCGAGCGGTTGACGCACATCCGTTCGCTTGTGGCCCCGTACGTCCTTCCATCCAGCCACTGCACGGACCTTCCCTCTCGGGTCGTTGAGTGGTTGTAGAACCCACCCGTCCCTCGGCCATTTGCTATCTCTCCACACTATGCCGGTGGACGAAGGGTACTTGAACGAGCCGGCCATGGTCCAACATGCGTTTTCCGAAACGACGACGTGGCAGCCACGCATCCGCAGTGTCTTTGCCGATACCCCCAACTTGGTGAACGCGATAGAAGCCCACCTGACGCGCCACCCGTGGACGCGACCGATTCAGGCGCTTACGTCCCGAGTGAACCCAACGTTTAGCGTCCATGATCTGTTTGTGGTCAAATGGTTCAGCCCACTCAACCGGCTCTGGGGCGAATGCCATGAAGCGCATGTGCTGACCTTGGATTTTCCCAAACTCCAGAGCTCGTCCACGGTACGACATGCACCTGTCGACTTGTTGGTTGACGTGGAGCTTTTTTCTGGGATGGCTTGGATGGTGGCGGGCTTACAGAAGGACGATGCTGTGGCTAATATTGTGATGGCCCTGTGCAGCCAGGACAAGGGCCTCAAGACAGCCCCAACCCAAGCGCTTTGTCGCGACTGCTCGAAGCTGCCTTTGACATGGAGCAGCTCGTGTACACGTTAATGCGTGAAATCGCGACGTCGTTGGCGCCGTCCATGGTCGCATCGGGATACCTACCAGACCGACCGAAAAATGCCATTTGGAAATGGCCATATGTGGTCACAACGTACGATCCAGCTGCCACTTCGCTGGCTCACGCTGTCAAGACCCACGGAGGCTTGCTACGGTCGAGCTGGTTCGGGCTGGTTGAATGGCTTGGACAAGACTGGTTTCCGATGTTTCACGGGTTGCAGGTGCAGTGAGTGCAGTCAACTGTAGCCTTGACGACGACTCTTCCAGGTGCCATCTCGTCCTGGTGTGCTTGGCACCGATATTGCGAGCATCCAGTGGTACATTCAGTATCTCCAACGGCTTCGCGACGGCTGCTTTGCAGGTACTCTGCTTCTTTCTGTGCTTGAGAGCGCCAAGGCGTGCTGATAGCGACGAGGGACTTGGATGCTAAATGAAGACGTTGCATGGATTCTAGTGCATGCCTCAAACCAAGTCATTCCAGCGCGCCTGCTCTGCCAACTCGACTCGTATCTCCCGCGCAACGCAGCGACCCTCGTGACCGCCGCTACGCCCGTCGTCTTGCTACACCAAGACTTGACGGACGAAAACATATTGGGTCATGTGAGGAACGCATCGAGTCCATTGGTGGCTGCGCTGTCCACCCTTCCTCCGCTGGATCGAACGGCGCTGGAAGCGTACTGCTCCACTCATGGCATTCAGTCTGTCGACGACCTCATCGACGTCGAGCCGTGGGAAGACGAAACGGGCACGTCCGACGCAACGCGATGGAAGCTTTTCAAACAATTCCACGTACGTGTGGGAGGCTAAACAGTCGAGATGACGTTGTTGTTGGTGTGGTGGTAGGTCGAGTCTGCCCTTGCCACGTCATTTGTCCTCGCGCCCGATCCAAATCAAGACAGCGAAGATGGCGACGACGACCGAGTGAATTTGGACGGCGATGTGCAGTGGACGCCTTGCCTCGTGATCGATTTCGCCGACACCAAGACGGGCGACCCGTTATGGGATCTCATTCCAGTTGTGTTTTCGATGCTGGTGAGCAAACGTGCTGCCGCCATCGCGGCTTGTCGACGTGGCATGATTCGTCTTCGGTAGCACGGCGACATTTCGTTGTGCCGCGCGTTGTTGCAGTCGCCGTACTGGACCAGCGTCATCGCGACCCACTCGAACAAGTCGTCGTTGTGCCACGTCTTGATGCACCTGACCCTACTCCATCCCAGTCAGTCCATTCCCGCGCTCTTCCACCACTTCCCAGGCGCTCGCACACTGGCAACGTGGGAGGACGTTGCTCTCCACGTATTTGGCCCCATGGTCGACGGATTGTCGAGCAACTGTGCTCCTCTCAACAATTTCCACGACGAGGCAGTCGCAACCAAGCGCACAGTGTCCGCTGCGCCGTGAGCGAGCGAGCATATCTCAATGCGTGACGATTCCAACGCGGCTCTGTAGTGTGGCGCATGTTAAAAACAATCTGTCGAGCACTACAACTTCGCTGAACGAGTTGCCTCCAACGTGTTTGTGGACGTCGTGTGGAAATCGAACGAGTGACTCGAGTCGATCGCGCTGCTGTGGTCGTGAAAGCGCTTGACGGTCTACTTCGGCTGTCTTTTCTAAGACGTGCTGGGCGTCGATGTCTGCTGCATCGACGCCAAGGGCGCGAGCACAACATGCCAACGTGTGGATTGAGTGTCGAGCTAGTGTGAGGTCAAATCGATCTGGACGCAACCATTCGAGGCGACGTCATCTCGACAGCCACGCCCGCCATGTCGCTCCGAACCAAGCTGTTTCGTGCACCTCGTCCACCACGAGATCGACGACACATCAAGTGGGCGATGGCCTCTCCAACAACACACCATCCGCACGTTTCCAAACTCCTTGCACTCAAAACGCATCAAACGTGAGGCTACGTTGATGACTGCAAAACTAGGCGTCGTTGCGTTGCGGTGGTGTCGGCTGGGCCGAGGGAGTGGTCTGTCTGGGGTTGGGCGACGGTCTCTTGTTGCAACAATGTGTCGGGTGTGCAAGTGCTGATGATGTGCATGGGGCTGTTGCAACCGCACGTAAACTTGCCGGTCGCAAACGGGTGCTGGATGCCCGGGACGTTATTGTTGTAGTCCACGAGCGCCCGCAGCGCCAATTCTTCGTCGGAATGGCCGACGCTGAGACCGCCGTACTCGGTCGGGATATTCTCGACCGGGATGCGAGTCCGCAGCGCGTCCAGGACGTTGTCCGATTCCTTGACGAGCGTAATTTTCTTGCGGACACCAGGGCCGACGAGAGTCTGCACGACGCGCCAGATCGTGTCAAACCAGGACGGAACATTTACGACGAAGATGCATCCGCACCGATTTGGATGCCGCTCCTCTAAGCACACCCGTGAGAGGCAACACATCGTCGAGATGTAGAAGTGGCGGCCACGTACTTGTGTACGCCGCGACGGACCGCATGTACTCGATGACGTCGTTGTCAAACGAAAAGAAACCGATACCCGCAACGTCGACGACTGAGATGCTCCGGCGATCGGCGGACGCTTCCACAACTTGCCACAGAAACTCAGTCATGAATGCGTAGCTCTTGGTCAAGTCGGCCAGCGTTACGCCGCGCGCCTTCAGCGCAGTCAGGTTGAGCTGCCCGGGCTTTTCGTAGTACACTGGCTCGTTCTCGTAGCCGCGTTTGTGGTAATAGTGCGGGTACAGTTCCTTGATCACGCTGTAGTGCGGCAAGCTCTCGCTCAAGATGCATGACGTCGTCATGATGGATTAGCTGTGATGGCGAGTCGGAGGTGGTGGCAGTGGGCAGCAAACGTTGGCAACGACCAAACGTTCGAGAATGGAGCTGGCGGCAAGAATGCGCCGTGACCGCCACTCGACCTATATCCAGCAGAGAGAGCGACGGCAGATATTTTTAGCCCACGTCACCCACGGGATGGCTGGTTGTCCTCGAGGCAACCAACTCGCGCAACACCACCTTCCACGTATCACAGCCGCATGCTGTCTTCGAAAGCTTGGCCCATGCGAGACCCCAATCCAACGAGGGCTGCGCTTGACCTAGAGCGCGACACGAGAGGTGGTGATGTCGAGCCATCGCCTAGATTCCATCTTGTAACCACACTCGTTCCATCAACGTTGTCGTGGCGGAGAAAAAGCCGTTGCAATTTCCATGGTTGGGATGGCCTCTAGCTGTGAATTGCACCGGGTGGATGGTGGTGGCACACAACATCCTTTCCATCGCGACCCTCCATGGGGGGGGTGAAAGCGTCGCCTTTTTGTGCGGCGGTAAGGATCGGTTTTTGGCAACTACACCACTCGAGGAACAAAATTGCATGCATTGCAACACCAACCGAGACTGACTACACATCCTTTGTCGTGGGCTGGTCCGCGGGGGCGGCAGCTGTGGCCACAAACGGGCGCGGGACGAGATCGCCCACCAGCGGGTTCGTGGCGCCCTCGACCTTGTTGTTGTAGTCCTGCAGCTGAAATAAAATGGCTTCCTCTGGCGACTCGCCTGTCGACCCGCCACCAAACTCGACTGGGATGTTTTCGTGCGCGATGCGGTGGGCGAGCGCTTCGTAAATCTTGTCCTTTCCTCGGACGATCGTGACCTTCTCACGCGTGACTTCGTCAATCATTCCCTGGACCACCTTCCACACCATATTGAACCACCCAGGAACGTTCAGGATGAAGATGTACGCGCAACGTTCGGGATAGTGCTTGCCTAGTTCCGTCGCGCCGTCAGCCACCATCGATTCAGTAGAGTTAGTTGCACGGCGCCAGCAACAACCATCCATTCGTACACCAAAGCCTCAACGCACGGCACAACAAATGAAACCCTCAAGAGCGCTCGTCGAGGTATTCGACGACGCAATCTCAGCACGATATACGACAGAGTGCACGCTTCCGTTGTGGACAGCATGGCCACGCGACTCCGTCGTCATTTTTCGATACAACCCCATCAAAGGATCAAGAAAAATGGCAGGTCGAAATCAAAACACGACTGGTGCCTACAACTACAACAAATGCATGCAGATATCGGTCACACAACGACACAAGCAGCCACTCTGACCCATGCGCGCCAAAACAACGTACCAGTGTATCCCGCGCACCGACGAACGTACTCGACGACTTCGCCGCCAAAGTCCGAGAACCCGATGCCTTCCACGTCCAGGACAGAAATGCACTTTTGGTTGTCGTCCTTCTCCATGACCGACCACAAAAACTCGGTCACCATTTGCGAGTTGCGCAAGAGGTGGTCGAGCGTGATGCCTTCGGCGCGGAGCTTCTTCAGGTTGATTTTACCCGGCTTTTCGTAATACACGGGTTCGTTGTTCAGGCCGCGCTTGTGGTAATAGTGCGGGTAGTTCTCCTTGATCGTACGAAAGTACGGCATCGCTTCAAACAAGATGCCGTCCATGTGCTGTTCCTTGCGCCACTGCAGCGTGTCCTTCCAGCGGACTACAGCACAAAATTAGCCACCAACAACACTGCTTGATAAACCCATGGCAATGCAAACACCACTGCACGTCGAACATGATACAGCGACGTCGTGCCATCCCTTGGGCCCGCGATGGTCCATGGCCAACGCCACGAGGGATACCACGACGGCATGTCGCCCCGCAAAACACAATCTGACCGACCGCATGCCAGTCTCGCATTCAACGCACACAATCCACAGCGCCATCGTGGGGCATCGACGTACCAAGCGAAGCAGATTCGTCTCCTTTCGTAGCACGAAGAAAGCGTTCCGGTACAGGAGGTAAAACCGGTTCATGGTGGTCGTGGCCGTCGGGAAACGGGGCATCCGCATGGTACACGTACTGGATCAACGTGAGGGTCCTGCCCCCGTTCTGAGCCAACGATTGTTGGTGCTGCTGCTGCTGTTGTTGCTTTTGTTGCGAAGGCAGGGGCTTGGGTTTATCGCTCGCGATAAGGAGAAGCATGGCGGGGAACCAAATGCACGCGGCCAGCCCGACGGCAATCCATTGATGGACAAGGCCGGATCGTTTCAATAACGCCAAAATCTACGCAATGAGGACACGCCATACCGGAATGACCACAGACGCAGCAAGGAACGAGCAGCTTACCACCGACGAAATTACAACCAGAATGGACACTTGGTGCACGGGAGCACCACGCAACTTGGCCGTAAGAGATTCCAGCAGCGAGCTCGAGGCCGGCGCCGCGTTCGACGTGGCATCTGACGTGCTTGCGCTGGGTGTCGTGATTTGGAGTGTCATCTGAACGCCACCGGGGCCTCCATCCGCGAGCGGCACGTAATGCTTGACACGGCCAGAGACAGCCATGTCATTCAACTTGTCTGCTGTCAAGACAACTTTCTTGTCGTGGGTGAATTGCACTTCGACGGTCGCGTTGTCGCTCGAGATGTCAATGGGCTGACCAAACTGGTAGCTTGTCAGCGTCTTGCCGCGGACAAATACCTTCTTGATTTGAAGACGTGGTGGAACGACGGCACAGAGCAGGTCGTGGCCTACAGAGCCACGTTAGCCTCGATCAATCGCCTGGACGGTCCACAACCCGTCACACTTTGTGAACGAGATGCCGAAAACGATATGGTGTAATCGATGTAAAGAGTGTCGGAGCACGGACTGGCGACTACTTTGCGGTGCAACCAGACCAATCCTCCACTCGGTTTGGGAACAGTACAGGCATGGCCAGCGTACCTTTGCCGTCGCAGCAAATGTATCCGCCGAGAATCGACGATGTGGGCTTCTTGAAGTTTGTCAGGCGCTTATTGTACGTGCGGACGTGGCGGTTGGCGTCTTCGACGTCGATGACGACTTCGTCGCCATACCGAATGAACAACGACTTGGGCTGGGGAAGCTTTGGGTTCGGATGGAAGCTCACGTACATCTCGCCGTTGGTTTGTCGGGGACGGGGACCCACATACCCTGTGATACCGCCGGTTTTGTTGTTCCATACCAAGTTGTCTTGGTTCACAAGGACCAAGGTGTGTCCAAACTGAACTGCCGACCCCTCCGCGTGCTGCCCACTCGGATCCAGGACGCGGTACTCGTCTTCTTGGAACAAATGCTCCTGTTGGTCACCGAGGGGCGGCACTGCGTTCAAAATCCCGTGCTTGCCTTTCTTCTTGTACACACCAATGCCGATTTCAACTTCTGCAGATGTGGGATGGTAATGACTGTTGGCGAGCAAACGAAGGGTTTGGCCATACTTGAGGACCCCCGCAGGCGTTTGTGCAACTCCGTTCGCACCAGACGACGATGCACCTTCGATGGCCGTCCCAGGCGTCGAGCCACGAGGGGGCGGCGCAGCCGCCGCGCCTGTCGTCGCAGACACGGACATGCTTGCAGAATGGACCAGGGGCTTGCACGACTTTGAAATTCCATGGCAAAATAAAATTCCTGCGGACTTCTCCATACAAAACCCAAGAACAATCCATAGTTACCATGCAAAAAAATGCAACGGTTTCAGACAGGAGCTGGGAATTGTGTTTTTATTGCCACGTGGACAAAAACAAAGCAGGTAAAACAATATATTTTCTGCAACCAGCATATTGAAATTTCACCAATACATACGCGCAACCATAGGTAGTTCTAGTATAATATGACAAGTTGACAGAGAGCATCTGTCATTTATTGTATTTGTTGGAAAAAAATGCGCATATTAATAGAAACCTCGTGAACGCAGTAATATATATCAATGTCATTATTTTAATATACTTTCACATTGACAAGGAAAATGTAGGCATCCCGAAGTTCACAAGATTGACCGAGGCGAGTGGATGAAGTGGTTAGCTGCGTAGGACCTGGCCTCGCACTGGGCTGCACCATACATCAACTTGCAGCTTTTCAGGAGCCTTGAGGTGGCCCGAAGGGCTTCGGAAAGCTGACGTCCATGCAGCCGTAAAGGTTTGGACCAGCAACACGATGCTACAGAAGCATTACTGCTAGATTACGTTGCACATTGAGACCACACCATGACACGTCGTGTTCGTGGGCGGGCGGACAAACTGGATGTGCTCACTCCTCGAGTGAAGTCCACGCCGAAGCGCAACTTCACATGCGGTGGCGAAAGAATTGACGAGGAGCCCCTTGTCGTCGACTCCAATGGTCTCCTTCAAGAGTGATATTTGATCTCCAGGCGTCAGCTGCGCACGGGAATCCTCTGCGCAGGCAACAGTGCAAGTGTTCGGTCCATGCATCGAACTAGGTCACGTCAGATCCCCCATCATGGTGTCCATGCAGAGCGAGACCACGTTGTCGTATATACAGCGCGCGAACTCGTCGACCGCAACGTGGGGTGTAGGCGCCTTCGTCGAGGAGACATGATTCGAGCTACGTGTCGGAAACTCAAAGATCTCACGACATCTCAGCCAGCATAGACGGAGAGAGCATGACTTGTACCGCGCTTACAAGGTCAATGCACTCGTCTTGCTCATGCGCTTCTGGCCCCCTGCGCAAGTCCAATGGCCAGGCGGAGCGCGACGCCAGCCAAAATGCTTCAATCCATTCAAAAGTGTATCCGGATGCCGGATACGGTAATCCAATGCATCAATTGTCAAGTCCCATCCAGCTGTCCCATGGCAACGACTTTGACCGACGAGTACGCAACCTTTCTCGCTCTGCACGAGGCGCAACTGCGAGCCATTGCCGTGCCCGAGCACTTGTGGCCATCTCTGCATCACAAGCTCAGGTAATCTGCAGCTGTCGTCCGTACTGAGTTGAATCATCTCTCCCTAGCCAAGAGGAGTTCGATGCAGGTGACTACTTCCATCTGGCCAAAGACGAAGACGACGACTTGCATGCTGTGGTGTTGCGGGAAATCGATCCGAACGACTCGAACGCGATTTTCCTCGTCGACCACGCGTGGACATTCACCACCGACAACAACAAGCCCCGCGAGATGCTCACGACTGTTCCGTCGCTCATCGGGCGCATGGAAAACCTCATGCGCATCGACGTTCCCGAAGGCGCCGATACCAACGCCCGTGTGAATACCGTGCTCGACACGATGTGGAAGTTCGTCAACTCGTATCGTTTGGGCCACCTTAAGCCTGAGGAAGCGGGAACCATTTGGTAAGCAGTGCGTTCCTTTCTATATAAGTAGGTTGTCGACGTTTGGTATAGGTACGTCATGGACGAATTCGGGTCGGCCATCGAGCACAGCGACGAACCCAACTTTAACATGGCGCCGTTCTACTACGTCTCTGCTCAATGCGCGTTCTCGCTACTTTGGCCAAAGGAAGCCATCGAAGCCGACGACTTTGCCACGTTGAATTACGTGCCCGCTCGAGACGAAGACACTCGCACGGCGTTGTGTGCGGCGCTATTTTACCCGAAAGGCGAAGGATATGCAAGCGAGCTTGGCGCCATTTGCTCCCGCCGCACCGCTGCGGCGGCTCACCACCACAACGAAACGCAATTCAGTCGCGACAGCGAATCGGTGCCGCCGACCATGGACACTCTGCCGACATCGGACGCGTTGCCGACGCCGATTAAAATCTGGACAGGTATGACGCGGCCACAAAAGTGCAGGGTTTGTTGCGGTGCTGTCGCTTCACCAATGTGCAAATAAAACGGGCGACTGTACAATCGATGTGTGTAGATTTGAAGCTCATGTACGAACACTTGACGGACCGTCGCTTTGAGTTTACCGACGTCGAAGCGGACGCCAACGTTGTGTGGCCGACGCGCCACATCAAGGACTACGTTGCGCTGTACGAGAACCCGAACGTTCGAGTGTTCAACCAATTCCCCAACGAAAAGGTCTTGACGTGCAAGGATTTGCTGTACGAAACCTGTCGTCGGTACAACCCATCGATCGCTCGTGCGTCGTGCTGACGCGTCGTGCAGTGCCAACAACAACCAACAGCCACCGTACATGGCGCTAACGTTCAACATGGAGACGGAGTTTCCCGAGTTGATGCAAGAGTTTACCCGCCGCGACCAAGCGGGCCTGGACAACGTTTGGATCTGCAAGCCATGGAACCTCGCGCGGTCGCTCGGTACAAGCGTGTGATGTTGTCGTTGCTAGGCGCTCATGTCGAGTGGCGCTAGACACGGAAATTGCGACAACGGCGGCGCAGCTGGCCAAGCTCGCGCAAACGGGACCCAAAGTGGCGTGCAAGTACATCACAAAGCCGTTTTTGATCAAGCAGCGCAAGTTTGACTTTCGATTCTTGGGTACACCAGGACTCTGACACAAACGAGTCGACTCGGTGACCTCACAACGGCGTGTTGTGTGGACTACTAGTTATGCTGGTGGACACGGACCCTCTCCAGCTGTACGTGAGCGGCGTGTACTGGCTCCGCATTGCGAACAAGCCGTTCAAGATGGACCGATTCGATGACTTTGAGACGCACTTTACCGTGATGAACTACACGGACTACGGCGTCGAGATCATCAGCGTCGATGAGTTTGAGGCCCAGTTCAAAGCCGAGTACCCCACGGAAGACTGGGAGGCGGTGAAGGCGGACATTTTCAAGTCGATTCGGGCCATGTTTGCAGCCGCGACGGCCAACCCGCCGCCCCTTGGTAGCATGACCCCGTTTCTGTTGGCGTGATGGGGCTCTGCATGCTTCTCTAGGCCTGGGCAAGTCGAAAAAGTCGCGTGCGTTGTACGGCGTCGACGTGATGTTGGAGTGGACCGACGACAACAAGATTCACCCCGTGATCCTCGAGGTACGACACATGATGTGGGTCAACTCACGAGCGCGTTTTTAGACGAACTTTCACCCCGACTGCACGCGCGCGTGCAAGTACTTTAAGGACTTTTACAACGACTTGCTCAACGTGGTTGTGCTCAACAACACGGACGCAGTCGTCCACGGCGTCACCAAGCTGTGATTTCAGTGGACTGGATGAATGCAGCGTCGACCAAAGCACACGTCGAGTGGCTTCGTTTGCACATTAACGTTGTGATGTGTCGAAAACATTCCTTGCCTTATTCCTCGTCCATTTTTCTTAAGCGCAACAGCGATCAGCGTGGGACTGCTGCAACGGCGCACTAAAGATGTTGTATCATGGACGTGCATGGATAGCATCCCAAGGTCCAAAATGGATCTTGCACACTGTAATCCTGCTTGGTAATCGTGACAATGATCGATAGCTCGTCCTTTGCAAGGTTTTACCGGGAAAAGCGCCGCAACTCGGTCACTTGGCATGGCTTTTACGACGCCCTCCACTGGACACGACTTCTACAATCCACAGAGTCCACTGGGTTGCATAGAGCGATATTTCCGAGAACAGCATCGCCATCATGAACATGCTGTCTGCTCCCCCCATGCGATCGGGGATGTTGTACAAGAAGGGCCAGAAAAAGGCGCTGCTCGGCCGAGCAAACTGGAAGCTCCGGTACATCGAACTCACCCCGACCGCCATCTCGTACTACACTGAGAAGGGCGGGAACCTCCGGGGGGTGATTGACTTGACCCACTGCACACCGAGAGACATTCAAGCGATGCCGAGAGATTGCATCAAGACGGGACGGTCACCGTCGACGGCGTGGCGCATCGCGATCACTACCCCCGTCCGTCGCTTTGTCATGGCGGCAAACACCCCCAGCGAAATGAATTTATGGTTTCAAGATCTCATGCAGATTGTGCAAAACCGGAGCATTGCCAACGACATTTACAAGGTGTAGGCCAGCCCACGACTTGCAAACTCGAAGTAAATTTTCGTGCCTGACCGGTGCACTGTGCCATTGCAGCCAAAACATGACAACGTAGTCGATGAGCTCGTGGATCTTCGTCACTCTGTGTCCGCCATCTGCCGCCATGAGTCGTTTTGGCTTCGACTGCTCATCTAACTCGTGGTATCAATGTGATGCTCCTCACGCAAGGACGGCGTCGGGCGTCCTTATTTTTTTAATCCTGCGACACACGTCAGGGACCAGCGTGTAGCTCACCGAGCTGCCACTCCGCTACACGGCATGAAACGGAGCGAAAATATGCTTCCGAGGGGGATCCTGACGTGCAGACGGCATCAAGTACGTTGCACACTCGATTTGTCACTACAAAAGCGCTGGACGCATCGAGTCGTATAACTTCCCTGACATTCGCTGCAGTGTGTAGTCATGTCACACTCTGCATCAACCAAGATGCATGCCTTCGATCGTTTCAAGGCGTCGACGAGTACAAAACGCAGCAACGAACGAGAACAGCCAATCAAACGCGATGTGCGATCGTCATTCTACCAATGGCATCGCGAGGATCGTCGCGTTGAGAGATGGACAGCCACCAAATCGCGATACGATGTACGCAGCACTCGATGCCGACGAGCTCAAGGTTCGGTCCAGCATGTTGTACAAGAAAGGCAAGAGTGGAGTTGTCTTTGGTCGAGCGAACTGGAGGCCTTGGTCTCGTCCAAAGCTCTCCAGTTCTACGCGTTATCGACGGGAAGGTTGAATGGCATGTTGATCCTGACCGTGTGCGATCCTGAAGACATTCAACCGATGCCAAACGATTGCCCCAAGACTGGTACATCGGGGTCATCGATCTGGCGAATTGCGATTCAAACAACGACCCGTCGAATCTTCCTTCCAGCGCAGTCGTCCAGCGTTGAACACGTGGGTACACGACGCGTTCATGTCGCTTTTCATGGCTTTGGCTGTCGGACTTTGGCCGACCACGACGGTAAGACACGAATAAGGCGTCGTGAATCCATGAAACATTGGTATTCCGTTTAAATTTCTTCCACCAAATCGTCGGCTTTCTCAGCAATAAAATGCCTCGAACGTGCAGGATTCCCGGCTGACTGTTTCGAGCTACATTACCAGCTACGCTACACCTCGAGCTTGACGAAACGACAAAGAAGCCGCATGTCAAATTGCACTTTGAAATGGTGCAGCCTGTTGTAGCGTTCCGGACGGGTCTGCAGAGGCGACGATTGTCCAGCCAGACGCATCGAGGGGCACTCGCTGATATCGAGAGACCGGAGCTACGTATTTTGAATTCGACATCCATGCGCGTCGTCTGCTTGACGATTCCAATCGATTCGTAGTAGCGTTCAGCGTCAAGTCCCCCGTAAAACAGCGTCTAATGGTTCTTTGAGATCTGGCCAAGTTTTCGAACGCATCCAGCGGCCACGACACGAGGACGCTCTTAGCATAGCCCTAGCGACGGAACTCCGTTCGCATGTTGACGCGGGGGATACAAGCAACTCGGGGGTCGTCGTACCAAAATGAGCCGGGCAACCTCGACGTAGGCGATTTCCCAGTACAAATACGTTCGACGGACGGCCGTACACCGGGCGAGCATGTTTCAGTGCGCCAGCTGAGGTGGTCCTGGCTGCCTGATTCATTCTCTATCATGGCAGCCAAATCTTGCGCGGTAGACAACGTAGCAATGTGTTCGAAGCGTTTTCCCGTGTCGCTGCAGGTTGTGCAGCGTCGCTGACCTGAATGAAGTGGCCCAAAATTGTTTTGATTGGTTAAAAGGTTGGAAACTTGGAGAGGGCGTGCCAATGAAAACCGTATAACGTTA